ATTAAATATCTATGGTACAAAGGAAACAATCAAAATCACAAAATGACATCAAGTTCTAACAAAAATAAACAAAAATGACAAAAATAAATAAGTAGATGGCCTCATTCAGATGTCAATATGTCCCCTTGAATAATTCTGTTTTTAATACTTTCCTAAAACTTAATATGGTAGGAATTTTGTCAAATAGTCTGAAAAAGTGAATTTCTAAATTTAGCAACCAAATTTCAGCAGCATTATTGGATGTGCATATATGCATGCAAAAAAGATGTCTGTGAAAAAGTCTGGGGCAACATGCAGCCTTGAACTAGGATGGGTCACCACTGCTGTGCACCAACCCATATTAATGCAAAATACTTATGGAAAAATGGTAGCTAAAAAATGGTTGCTGAGCTTGGGAGGCATGGAATAATAACGATGATGATGATGATGATGATGATGATGACGATGATGATGATGATGATGACCTGATTCTTTACTTCCAAGTCCCAAGACAGGATGATGATGGTGATAATGATTCCTGTCTTTCTGCTGGAGGGCCTGGAGGCAAAGAACCAAGATCTTGAACAGAGAAGCCCTTAGGGCCAAGATTTCTATTAAGCACACTTCATATGATCATTCTCCATGTGTTCAATCAACTTCCCCTTCTATCTCCTTAAACATTACAACTTGGTGGCAACAGAAGGTTGAACTTTGGCCAAACTCCAGAATTCCATGGGCATGGTAGTAGTCCTTCTATGAGCCCTGGACTCTCAGGTTCTACATCTCTGGGTTAAGATGTTGACACAAATCACATGGGCTAATGGTGTAAAATATGTTCATGTGAATAGTCAAATTATAAAATGGCCTTCAGCCGACTGACTCATCTCTTAACAATCTTCTGTTCTCTTAATATATGAACAATATCGTACCTTAAAAATCTATAGCTCTTAATTGATTAGCCCTCCTATTTTAGAACTTGAAAATAAAACTGCTTTTAAGCTAATGAATTCTCTTTTTTCTAAGAGAGCTTTTAAACAGACAATGTGCTTAGACGTAAGAATATAAAAAACACACAGTGCTTAATTCAATGAACAGCAATCAGTAATGGCTCATAAAACTAAGGCTAAGTCTGATAAAAGTGGTTTAGTTATGCACCGTAAAACTAATTATTACTCTCTTTGATTTGATTTTCTTGAGGTTATTCAATTTAAATAAGATGACAATAGCTAGAAGGAATTGTGTATATGGATGTGAGTTTTCACACCAGTGTTTACTCAGATAACAAAACATGTTTTTTTTCATAAAAGAAATCTCCAGTCCACCCCAGTTCTATGGTGTACAACAAAATAAAATTAGAAAACCAATAATCATTTTATGCATTACCTACAATATTAAATGAATACCCTTTACTGAAACTTCTAGGGAGGTTTACAAAAACAAGATGAAATACACAATGTTTCCTCCTCCCTGTGGTAGTCACCTGTAAAATTATGCAAAAACTAAATATTATTGCAGTAATCATTCCAGGCTCCATTAATCAGTACTTTCAACTCATAGCTTACCACTTTTATAAAACAGTATTTAACAATCCTGTAGTCCTTGTCAAATGTTAGAATCTTGAAATGCAAATCTTATATTACATTTTTTTTGTATTGTGTAGCTTTTTAAAAAAAATGTTTCATTAAATCTGCCCTACCAATTGAATTTGGCTTATCTAAGAATGCTATATTTTTATAACTTCCTCTTTCTTTTGTGTGTGTGTGTTTATATTTCATTGGCATCTTTCTAGCACTATTTCTGCTTCATGTAATCTAACTTCTCCCTTTCTTCTGCTTCCTTGTGGCTCACCTTGGCCTTGAATGAACATCTGATGATGAACCTATTCTATCTTTATGGAAATTCTGATGGCTTTATTCTGATCCTTGAATCATCCTTGCTGTGTTCCACCGTTTCCTTCTACCAACAGAAGAAAAATGGGCTTATGGACCATGAAGATTTCAGAGCCTGCTTAATTTCAATGGGTTATGATTTGGTATGAATTTTAAGATGCAGTTGTTACAGTAATCCATGTTACACATGTAGCACTATCACTACAAGTTCTTTAACAGAGTGCCCATTATAGATGTAATTGTAAAACTCCTGTGGTAAAAGCTCAGCCCACTCAAAATCCTAGTATATCAAATATGTTTATAAGTTACCTTCTCAAAGGGAAGCTCCACAATGAACTTTATTCTCAGGTGTGTATAGAATTAGACTTATTCATTGCTAGAACCCTATGCAAACAGCTGTTTATATATATACATTCTAAAACACTGTGCACATTTACCATGACATTCACATATAGTTTCCATTACATATCAATTTTGAATATTCTATCTATCTATCTATCATCTGTCTGTCTGTCAGATTTTGATGGCATCTGACTCCAAAAAGATTCTGAGCAACTTGAAATTTTAAAATTGCATATGATATTATGTATAATACCATATAAAAAGATATAAGAAATAATATAAAATAGAAAAACATGATTGCCCAGGCAAAATCACATGAAGCGAAGCACCCGAATGATGATCATGTGACCCTGGGGATACGGCAATTGTTATAAGTTCAAGAACCAGTTGTAAAGATACTTTTTCAGTGCCATTGTAACTTCAAACAGTCACTAAATAGGGCAGTTGTTAACTGAGGACTATCTGTACTCTTCATTGTAGCCCTGTAGAAGCTCCTGGGACCTATCCCTCCCCAGCAGGGAATTGATCACTCTAAAAGGCACCATGGGACAGCTATTGATGGATGCAGTAGGGCATAAAAATAATGACATTTGTTGCTACCAAGTGGGCCTCAATATGGGCTCTTACTCAGAGTGAATTGGACCAAATATGGACCAATATTGTCTTTGTCCAATGATGCTTCAGGGCTCTCTTATGATGCTTTATCTGCTGGAGCTTTTCAGAAAACCAAGGTGTACCCCAGGATTGGTATAGAGAGGCTGCATGGAAGCAATCTGGTCCAAGGTCTTGATCACCTGCCTATTCCAGGTTGCAACCAATGCAGTAAAACCTAGTGGGTTCTTTCCTATTTATTATATATTTTTTGTTTTACTATTTGTGTGAAATCTATAGCTAACATTCAGCCTAACACTCACTTCCAATGGACTTAAGAATGTTTAATGTTCGTGAAATAATACCTCCCTACTTTAAAATGCATACTGTTAATATGTTTTTGCATACTTAAAAACATGGGAAATCTGATATTTGGCAGATCACACATGATACTGAATATTTGCTTATTAATTTTCTAATTTTTCTTTGCATTATAATTTTCATAACTGATTTTTAATTGTATTTCAGGGTGAAGCCGAGTTTGCCCGAATCATGTCCTTAGTTGACCCCAATGGTCAGGGAACGGTTTCCTTCCAATCGTTTATTGACTTCATGACCAGAGAGACTGCTGATACTGACACTGCTGAACAAGTTATTGCTTCTTTCAGGATTCTAGCTTCAGATAAGGTTAGTGCTTGGTCTCTAGGTAGGATTTCCATTTGTTGTGACTGTTTCTACAAATTCTACCCTTGCAAAACAAGAGGGTACCCAAATGCAAAGTAAACTGAGCTGTAACCTAGATCGTAAACTTAAAATATAGCTAGCAGCAGGATTGTTTTGACAAACTAAGGAAAACCCGTAAACCTTGCATGCTGACTTTCTGAGACACAATACAGATTTGTATTGAAACTTTTAGGCTGAGGTAAGGTTGAGTTTTTGAGATGCTGTTTTGGTAAGGGAATGCAATAAGGCCACACATAAATTAGGAATCAGAAACATTTGGAGCATTTTAGGAGATTAAAGATAAGGATGCAGGGACTGGGAGTTTTGCTGACTACAGATTTTCTACTTATTTTTGAAATTCAACAACAGTCTCCAGTTTCCAGACTTTTACCCAAAAACATATTCATGCTATCTGCTGCAGTTTTGTGGGGTGGGCACCTACATTATTTTAATAAAGCTGAAAGAATTTTAAAGCATCTCTGCACAAAAAGGAAGATATTTCAGCCTGATTTTTTTTCAGCATCATATAATGCCCACTCACTAGGCAACTGCAATAAAGACTTTCAAGTGATCAGAAAAGAGTGACCTACAGGTGTTGGATGTAAGCTCTGGGAAGGAGCTGCCTTTAAGTGATATATAAAAATGCCTAAGCATATCTAGTAGAAATATATACATTTGGTCCCGACCCTGTAGACCTTTATGAAGGCACGTTCTTTCTCCAGGCCTTGGGGTCCAGATGAATGAAGTCCCAATTGGTTGAGTTGTAGCATATTTTAGTCTGATCACCATGTCATTGTTTACTGTTTTAGTTGGCTTTTAATGTATTGTTTTTGTTCAGGCTGTATTTGTTGTAATTCTTCTTTTTGTATGCCGCCCAGAGTCACTGTTTCAGCTGGATGGCCATATTAATTCAATAAATAGATAAATAACTTCCATAAGAAGGTATTATGGATCAGTGCCAGGTTTGTCCAGACTTGTGCCCATTTAAGTATTCTGGATTTTGCAAACAGGGAGGACACCAGATTGGAGAAGGCTAATCTGTATGACTTAGATTCATCACATTCCTCCTTTTCACTTCTTCCAGCCGTACATTCTTGCTGAAGAGTTGAGCCGAGAACTGCCATCTGAACAAGCTCAGTATTGCATCAAGCGGATGCCAGCCTACAAGGGACCAGGAGCTGTTCCTGGAGCTCTGGACTATACCTCATTTTCATCAGCACTGTATGGGGAAAGCGATCTGTAACTGGGAACTGTCACTGTGGGCAAGTGAAACTAGATATATTCCAGTTTGCTCCTTGAAAAAATAAGCAAGCTGACCTCACTACAATTTCTCAAGTTTAGCAGGGATGTTCAATAAGGAGCTATGCCCATCTAGTGTGCAGCATGATAAGTTTTTATGTTGTTTATATGTACTTGATCAAGCTTATACAGTGACAGACTGAACTGGCCCTCTGCCTTATCAGGTTGTTGTTGTTCTTTTTAAATGAAAAATGGATAATCCCAAAGTAACCCTTTTTCTCAGTGCCAAGTTAGGAAGCCTCAGGAAAAACAAAACAAAACAACACAAAACAAAACAGAACATGACTTTGAAAAATCAAACCTGGCATCCCTTTGATTTTCAACACATGAAATGTTTTAAGAATTCTGAACATTTTATGCAAGTCTTCCACAACCTCCCTTCATGCACCTCCTTTTTGCTTTCATACCATGGTAATGCTTTCATCTATGGATACTGGGGTTTAGTATGCTTGTGCAAATGGAACTGCATATACAAGAGAAAATAAAAACCCAAGTCATATCAAATTATCATATGAGACTGTTTTGTTGTTTTTAATGTGAAACTTGCACAGAACTTTTAGTCTGACTTTCCAATGGCATAAAATCATGGAACCTCTGGAGTTTATTCTAAGAGGTTGATGATAAGTTATAGCCTTAAAATCAGTGCCCAGTTCACAAGGGCACACTGTAGTTGGCTGGATACTATGAGGGGGCTCCATACTTTAGGATTGTGTTAAAAAGTCTGTTCTCTGGTGTATTCATTGTTTTGCTGCAACTGGTCTTGGTTAATGCTAAAAATATTGACATTTTAGTACAACTAGTCTAAGGCACTTCATAAATATTCACACAAATGGCAAAGAAAGCTGTACAATCTAACACTATTAAATGTGCCTTTGAAATAAAGTCTGCTTTTCAAGCCTTAATACAGATTCAGTTACTGAGATTAAATTGATATTAGGGCGTCTCTTCCAAGCCACAGGGTTCTCACCCCATTTCTTAGTTTGCTTTAGTATATTCTACGTAGTGTGGCATCCACCTTCTTTTTGCTTCTTTCTTTTCCAACCAGACCGCAGCTGATTCTTGCTGCTGCTGCTCTTCTTCCTCTCGAAGACTTTGATTCAGCTGATTCGTCAGAAAGTGGGGCGGGAGGGGTTCACCACCTGAAAGAACAGATTTGCGATCCAACACAAATAAGAAAGATATTATTACTGAAAGTCCAGTATTTGGAATTTGCTGGGTTATAGGTTTCAGTAAGAGTTATCATAAATCACCCTATTTGCTTCCGAGTAAGTAGCATGATGCACTTCAGAAAAAGAGCAAGAAGTAGAGAGTGAAAGAAAAAGGCAAGATAGAAAAGTCTAACTAAATCTAGTTTACACCAGTGCTTATAAATCATCATCAGATGGGGCCATATCTGTACCCCATCAGGCCTTTGGTCAACTTAACGCTTTTCAGTAAAATAAGGAAGTAACAGCTATATGCAGCATTTCCTGCCAATGGTAAGGATACAATACTGGCTAGTTTTGGGCACATTTTGGCCAGTATGCTACAAAGCAGAGCACAGCTTTATTCCCACTATTTCATGCAAGTGAGGATCTCTAATCTAGAGACTACCTTGCACGCTAATATGCTGTTGCCTGCAATCCATCAGCTAAGAGGCACATACAGTATATTGTCCTCATGCAAATTCCTGTCAGTCACTGTTGTTTTTGCTGCAAGGGAGAGGTTCTCAAAGTTTGCAATACTGTGATCCCTTAAAATGATAAATGAATTTGTTACTGTCTCCCCACAATAAAGTAAAATAATTGAGCACTGGCCAACCTATGTTTGCAAAACAAACTCACAACCCCGCTTTAAGCTGCTTGTGGCTCATTGGGGGTGTGTGTGTCATGACCCACAGTTTGAGAACCAACATCCTAATAACTCTACATGCAACACAAAATCCAGCAGTTTAGTCCTCTCTTGATCAGGGTTTTAGAATTTTCATGAACGTTCTCGCTGGGTTGACTGTGCTAGCTTAGCGTCTCAGAGCATCAACATGAAAGTAGTTTGTCATTGCTCCCTTTGAAGGTTTTTTTTTTTTACTTCCCAGTTCAGCCTACAGTCTGGGATAGTTGGTGGTCTCCCATCCAAGGACTACTAGGTCTGATCCTGCTTAGCTTTTTCCAAGATTGGCTAGATGATACCACCTCCTGTGATGCACAAAGTTTAGGCATGTCTGTTATTCTGCCTAGCTGAAAACAGATCCAAGTGTCTTACAGAACACATAATGCTATATTTGACCTCCCAGGATACTATGAGGAGGAGTTCGTGTGAACTGGCATCCACAGTTATATTCTTATAATTTACACAACTATCAACAGCTCAAACACACATACAAATGTATAATTTGTAATGGCTTTAATGGTTTTAATGACTGAAATTGTTCGCCGCCCAGAGTCACTTGGATTGAGATGGGCGGCTATAGAAATTGCATAAATAAACAAACACACCCAAATAAGCCAAAACCAAATAATCTGCATGATGTCATAGTGATGTGCGAATGCAGCAGAAGGTTGGTTGAACTGAGGTATAAGGACATAAGCAGGCTGTACAGTCTCAAGGATAACATCTTTGGCTATTTTTGCTCAGTGCACTGGATGTTTGAGGACACCTGTCCGGGATCTTTTCTCCTGCGATCTCTCTGTGTCAGCATCGTATCGGTGCTCTGCTTGCAATGAAGGAGAACAACTTTCTTCTAATATTCAATGAATAATGGAGGAGCTGGGCCCCTTTTTTTTGTACCCTGGGCAAGGGAAAAGCCTATAGTGACTGCATTCAGACATTATGCTAACTATTATGTGGTTCCTTGTATGTGGCCCAGCGCAATGTCCGAACTCAGGGAACTATTGTTTATTAAACAAGGTACGTTTAACAAAATCCTGACTTACTGCAATACGTGATATAGCTAGTCCCTTTTTTAAATTAGCATTCGCCGGTTGATTCCTCTCACGTAACCTAGGCGATACAAGTAGCGGCAGAGTGGCTGAGATTCCTCTTCATTAAGGCATGTTACATTTAATTAAAAAAAAAACTTACCTTCTCTGCATCATGTGTTTTAAAACATATTTTGGAGGTGGCAGTTAATAAGACAATAGCCACAG